TTTTTTTTTTTTTTTTTTTGAGATGGAGTCTCCTCTGTCGCCCAGGCTGGAATGCAATGGCGTGATCTTGGCTCACTGCAATTTCCACCTCCTAGATTCAAGCGATTCTCCCACCCTAGCCTGCCGAGTAGCTGGGTTTACAGGCACCCGCCATCATGCCTAGCTAATTTTTGTATTTTTGTAGAGACGGAGTTTCACCATGTTGGCCAGGCTGGTCTTGAACTCCTGACCTCAGGTGATCCACCCACCTCGGTCTCCCAAAGTGCTGGGATTACAGGCATGAGCCACTGTTTCTGGCCGAGGATGTGACTCTTGAGACTAAAAGAACAGTTGGGTATGCCATTTCTGGAGAAGACTCCTACCTATGAAAGGTACAGATACTGTTAAGTCCCCAGAAACTTGAATAGTCTGGCATTGGAGTTCACAAAATTGTTTGGGGAAATGAGCTTCCTTGGTAGGTAATTAGAGATTTAAAATGAAATTTGGGCTTCACATTCTAGTAGTATCATATTGAGTATGAGGGCTGACATTTCACTTAGGAATGTCGAAGAGTGTTCAGTTAACAAACATTTTAAATGTTTAAGAAAGGGAGGAGGATCATTAGCTCAAGTCAGAAAAATCAAATCTGAAATATTTAGTTTCTCTTTTATTATTTGTATTGAATAATGGGATAAAAATGGCATATCATTAACTGAGATTTTTGTGCATTTTGAGGTATTAGAAGATTGGATAGGAGTACAAAAAAAAATCAGAATTCAGGTAGGTAGCTCTTAATTTTCAGTGTTTTGTATACTCAGTCATATTTTGCTGTACCTGTGAATATGCCTTCTTACATCTTAAAAAAAAAAAAAAGATGGAGATAGATGTAGATACTTTGTCACTATAGTATTCCAAGGTTTTCACACTTTTTTTTTTTCAGATACCAGAGAATTTATGGTGGCCATATCAGAGATCTTCCAGCCTAGAGTACTTCTGGTCACTGATCTGTTATTATCTCTAGGATAATAATAGAAATGTCAGGCCGTTCCTTCCAATTGCTTGTGTTTTCATTAGCCTCAACCTCATCTGT